GCCGCCCGCCCCCGCCGCCCCCGGGGCCGTGCCCACCCGCCTGGCACCGGCACTCCCGGAATGGCCCGGCGGCCACGGATGGCTCCAGGAGCCCCCCGGGGCCGTGCCCACCCCATCGAGCCGTTTGGAGAGTCCCATGGTTCTGATCATTCCGTAGGGTTGGGCACCCCAAGGAGCCCCCAGGACTGTAGCCACCCTTAGGGCCGTGGTTGCCCAGGAGAACCCCAAGGTCATGGCAACCCCACAGGGCTGGGTGCTCCTAGGAGCTCTCCAAAGCCACGCCAGCTCCAGAGGGCCACATTCCCCAGGAGAACGCCAAGGTCATCACCACCCTGTAGGGCTGGACACCCCGAGGGAGGGGACTGTGCCCACCCACAGGGCCACGGCCCCCAGCAGGCCCGAGAGCCATGTCTCCCCAGGGACCCTCGAGGCCATGCCCACCCACACGGCCATGCTCCCCTAGGACATCCCTAGGACCACAGACCCCATGGAGAATCCCAAGGTCATGACGCCCAACAGCACTGGGCGCCCCTAGCAGCCCCCAGACCCACACCACCCACAGGGCTGTGGTCCCCAGAGACCCCCAGGGCTGTGCTGCTGCACGGCACCAAGGCCGGGCACCCCAAAAAGTGCCTGTCCACCTGCGACCTTCTGGGGCTGTTCCTGCTGCTGGGGTCACGCTCCCCAGGGACCCCCAAAGCTCCCTGACCCCCCCTGCCGTGGCCACACTCCCACGGGACCGTGCCCGCCCCACGGCCCGCCAGAGCCCCTCACAGGGTCACAGACCCCTGGGACCCCCCTCACCCCAGCCTGGGGGGGGGTCGGCGCCCCCTCCCCAAACGGGGCGGTGCCACGTGCGCGCGTGCCGCGGCCACGTGTGGGGCGGGGCACGCGTGGGCGCGGGCTGACGACACGCGCCGCGGCTCCGGGCGCTCAGCATCCCCCCCTTCTCCCCCCCCCCACCCGTGTCCATCCCCCCCCTCAGGCTGCAACCCGAGAGCTTCATCCATAATTCAGCCCGGCGGCCTGGATCCACGCCCGGGGATGCGTGGATGCGCCCAGTCGCCGCTACCGGGGGAGGGGAGAGGAAGGAGGGGGGCGGTGGGACTCTCCGGTGCACCGGAGGTCACACCGGAGATGCACCGAGGGGTCCCACCGCCCCCTTCCCTCCCTTCCCCTCTGCCGGTGCTCCACGAGTTGGGGGGGTACCCACCCCCCAGCCACCCACGGAGGCGTCCGGCGCATCTGCTCAGCGCCGCCCCCCTCCCCCGGCGCCCCGTGCCGGCGTGCGCCCCCCACCCGCGTCCCATCTGTCACTCCCCCACGCCGCGGGCTGACTCAGTTGGGAGCTGAAGTCACCGGTTCTCAGCTTCCCCCCCTCCCCGGGTGCCAAACCCCCCCACCCCGGTAGTTGCGGGTACCCCACGGCCCCGCGGCACCCACCCGCGGCGTGACCCGGGCGCTCCCGGCTCCCCGCCGTGCCCGCACCGGGAGCCGTGGGGCGGCTCCGCGCCGGGCTGGGGCTCCGGGGCTGGCACCGCGCACCCCCTGCGTGGTGGGGCACGCCCCGCTGGGCGTCGTGGGGTACCCACACTCCGGGCTGGGGGTCTTGGGGGGGCCACCGGGTATCCCGTGGCTGGTGGAGCGCCCCGAAGCCGGGCTGTGC